CTGCACACATGTTGCTTCGTTCCATTTATAAGAGGTAAAACAGGATCAAAAGAAATGTATGCTATAAACATCAAGAGAAATGAATGTCACACCTGTAATCCCTGTGAGTCCTTATCTCGAAAATATAAACTTTAGTAAGAACAGAAATGAAGAGTTTGAGGTAGTGTGACTAAAGGGAGGCACAGACTGGCATCTTGGATCTCGAAATGGTCAGGATTATGAATATGGATGTACGTTCACATATGAACATACACTCACATATGAACATACACACTCACAGTTGTGGGAGTCTACATCAACTTACACATTTAAATTAGTGTGCTTTACGAGGCTGTGAGAAGAAAGTTGTTCCTGTCTGTGATGACAAACACAGAGAGCAGAGCGCTACAGCCCAGCCCATGTTGTCACTAATTAATCACCATTGTGGAGCTCAGCTTCAGAACCAATTCAATCAGTGCTCCAAACGGTTGTGCTTTGATACAGAACTGGCTGGCTTTCCCTCGCGCATCCCCAGCGTGTGCGCTGCATAACAATGCCTGCAGTGGCGGTACCAGATTATACAGGTGGCGACACCACAGCCACCCCTGATTTCACACAATAGAATTGCTTGTTAATGCCTTCTCTGGATACGTCTTGTCACCAAGGAGCATGGGTCTGCGCCTTCCTTCATGAAGAGGTTTAACAGAGGTACACTGGTAGCCTTGTTCGTTCAGCTGCACTTTGAGGAATCGGAGAATCCACTGCCTGGCTCCTGGCAACTTCCCTAAAGCCCAGGTTCAGGCCTCAGGAGGGAATGGCCTCTCAAGTGCAGATTGAGAAGTGGCAGAGTAACAGCCTAAGGGACAGACACTTGACTGAGAAGAACCCTTGGCAGGGGTAACTCAGCCCGCAGGGAACCATGAGTCCAGAGCAGGGTACAGTTAGACTAGGCCAATTCTACCATGGAACAAGCCAGGTTTTCTCCCCTGGAGAAAGCAGAGAAAAAGAAACACTTCCTGCAGGCGGAGTATGTGACTTGCCCAAGATCTGGTTACTGGGGAATATTGTTTTAAGGTGTGTTACTTTTGTTTATGCTATGTAACAATTGTTTAACTATGTAAAGATGCGCTGCTTTTGTTTATGCTGCATTTGTTTAACTTTGTGGAGTTGTGGCTGGGTGGCTAGCTCCTGATGTCCTCTCCTTGTTCTCTGGTTGCTCCTCCTATTTCTAGTTTCTCCTCTTAATTATTCTCTCTGCCTGCCAGCCCCCACCTATCCTTGCTACTGCATCGATATTGGCCATTTAGCTCTTTATTAGACCATCAGGTGTTTTAGACAGGCAAAGAATCACAGCTTCACAGAGTTAAACAAATGCAGCGCAAACAAAAGCAACACATCTCTACATCATTCAACAAATGTTCCACAGCATAAACAAAAGTAACACATTAAAATAATATTCCCCAACATCTGATGGTTTCATCAAAGGCAGCTGTGAGCAGCAGCCCCCACCTCCTTCAGTTAATGCTTCAAGATGATCAAGCTCTTCCACATTCACAACAACAAGGTCAGGGCAAGGCAGGAGGGGTCTACTTGTTTGTTGTTGTTGTTTGGTTGATTGGTTTTTGTTTTTCGGTGAAGTCTCCAACTTGGGCTGGCCTCAAACTTTCCAAGTAGCTGAGACTGATCTTGACCAGCTAATCTCTTGCTTGAGTGCTGAGGTCACAGGTAAGAGCCACCACACTGTTTTTATGCCATGCTGGTGTTAGAGCCCAAGGTCTCATGCATGCTAGACAATGCCCAACCAGCTTGTCCCTACTTTAAATAAGAAAACTGAAGGTCTGAGAAACAAGTAACTCATGAACATCTTAAGGATGAAATGAGGTTAAAGATTCAAACACAAGTCCATCTGACCCAAAGCCCACGCTCCTTCTCCAACTTAGAATTCTACAGCCTGCCACCCTGTCAATCAAGTGAAAGGGTGAGGTGAGCACTCCCAGACACTGATGGGAAGACTTCTCCTGTACCTTTCTCAAGAAGCAGTCAGAGCAACAGTTCTCAATCTCTGGGTCGTGACCACTTTGGGGTCCAATGACCCTTTCACAGGGGTCACCTAAGACCATCAGAAAACACAGATATTTACATTACAATTCATAACAGCAAAATTATGAAGTAGCAAGGAAAATAGTGTTATGGCTGGGAGTCACCACAACAGGAGGAACTGTATTAAAGGGGACAGCATTAGAAAGGTTGAGAACCCCTGTCTTAGAGGATGCCCAGTTATGACTACAAACTGTCCCTGTGAGCCCTCCGTTCTTTACCAATCACTGCAAGTCCTTGGCTGGGTATTGTGATATTTTGTTTATGATCTAACAAATGAAACTTGCCTGAAGATCAGAGTGCAAAGGTAGCCACACTAGTTAGCCACAGAGGCCTTTAATCCCAGCACTCAGGAGACAGAGGCAGGTGGACCTCTGTGAGTTCAAGGCCAGCCTATGCAACATGAGAGTGAATCAGTCTAAAAGAGAACCAGAGCTCACACCTTTAATCCCAGCACTTGGGATGACTTGCCTTTAATCCCATCACTAGAGAGAAATAGAAGGTTGGAGGAGACAGGAGCAGTGAGTCTGAGGTTTGGTGGAGACAGATGCAATCTGGAGTCAATCTGAGGACAGGATCGCCCCTTCGGTCTGAGCATTGGTAGAGGTGAGAACTCTCTAGTGGCTGACTGCTTTGCTTCTCTAATCTTCAGCTTTAACACCAATCTCTGAGTTTTTATTATTAAGACCAACTATTATTCATGCTACAGGATATGGTGGTGCTCACCTTTAATTCCAGCACTTGGGAGGCAGAGGCAGGCATATCTCTGTGAGTTTGAGGCCAGCTGGTCTACATAGCAAGCTCCAGGACAGCCAGGACTACATAGAGAGACCCTGTCTATCAAAAAAATTGCCATTTACTAGGGCTTCAAAAGAGTAAAGTCAGATTAATTTAATCAGCTATCATTATCCATAAAATTTTGGCTCTTCTATACATTTTTATAAGCAATGGCTGTTTTCAGTAATAGCTCATATAAAACCTGTATACATAAAACACAGTTAGGCATGGCAGGACATAGCTGAAATCACAGCACTTGGAAGGCTGAGGCAGGAGAATGACAAGTTCCAGGCCAGAGTAGATTACATAATGAGACCTTACTTAAAACATACACACGCGCACACACACACACACACACACACACACACACACACACACGCACGCACGCACGCACGCACGCACGCACACACGCAGATAGATAGATAGATAGATAGATAGATAGATAGATATAGATATCATATATTTTGAGATACAGGGCAGGGAGATGGCTCAGTGGATAAAAGTGTCTGCTGTACAAGCATAAAGATATTAAGTTCAAATCCTTAGCACCCACATTAAGATCCAGGTATGGGGCATACATTTGTAATCACAACACTGGGGGACAAAAACAAGAGTATCCCAGGAGCTCACTGCCTGCCAGTCTAGATGAAGTGATAAGCTCCAGGTTCAAGCTCCAGGTTCAGTGAGAGATTTTGGCTAAAGTGGATACAGTGATCACAAATGGGCAGGCATATTAGCAAACGTATCTACAGGCATAAACCTACACACACACTAGCTGGGGTGTGATGGTTGTAACATGGCTTCTCTCCAGTGGCCAAACTGTCAAAGAGCTTTTTGCAGCTAATTAACAAAAGTGGAATGATCAAATTAGAACAACACCATTTTGAACGCACCAGTTAATTAATGGATGTAGGCACTGAGCATCAACAGCTGTGAGCATCCCTCCTCCATCCCTCCAAGCGCACAGTAATAAGACATTATGTCCCTTTAGATAAAAGAGAACATCACCACCTCGAGTTGCAAAAAATAATCAAAGGCTGATTCTGATGAAACTTCCATAAATACAGACAGAGGACATGCTGAGCTCAACATTAGTAAAGCCCGGAATCAGGGGGCAGCTACCAGCTGAAAGCCCAGGTTCTCCAACATGCGTTATAAGTGGGGAAGCAGATCTTGGTAGAGGCTTGAAAGATGCATCAAACTAAAACATATGAGGATGCACAGCTGAGTTCGTAGCCACACTCTTCACAAGAGCCCAGAGAGGAAACTTAGCGTCCGGGAGCAGGCGAATGGGTAGTGTAGTGTGGGAAACACAACTTAACATCATCCCAGCATCGTGAAAGGGAAATTCTGGCACACGGTGCAACACGGATGGACTCTTAAGGATGCCGCATCAAATGAAACAAGTCAGCCACACAAAAAACAGAGTTGTGTATGGCGGCTCACACCTGCAATCCCGGCGCTCAGGAGGTGGCTCTTTGTGAGTTAGAGAAGGCACCCATGGGCGATAAAATCATACATAAATGCAGGGAACTGCTTCCCATAAAAGCCCAGAGGGGAGTTAGTTGGTGTGGGGGAAAGGGAGAGACCCAGTGAGGCTTCTCAGCTGTATTTCCTGATTAGGGTGCTACCTTACCACAGTGACCACTTCCCAATAACTCAATAAGCTGTGAGTGAATCTTCAGCAATTTTTTTTTTTTTGAGTAGGAAAGATCCTTTTATTGGATAAGGAGCACGGGCTAGTCCATGATAAAATGACTTAAGAGAAAGATCCAGAAGGGCCGGCTCTCTCCTGCCCTGGCGTGGGCTCAGAGTGAGGCCTGGTTACGGGAGGGACCCCGAAAGACCGGGGCACCGAGATCCAGCCGGCCTGTGAGTGGGAAGAACGAAAAGGCAGCTCGGTGTGTTGGGAGACCTGGCTGCCCTGGGCTCTGGACCCTGGTGTCGCCTTGCTGGCAGGTGGCCGGGTGGGGGACACACCACTGTGCTTTAAAAAAGCGTCTACCAACACCTCAAGGCTGGGCTTGATGTCCCTTTAACCAATGCTTGACACGAGTTACAGCATAAATAAAAACTCAAGGAAAATAAATACCTGGGTGCTGTGAGGTTGGAGGGCGGGCTGGGTGTAGGTGGTGGGCTGGCTGCGCTTACACACGCGGGCACGGGGCCTGGGTGTCCTCGGGCATGTCAGGGCTGTCAGTCCAGGCCACCTTGCGGGGTGGCGCTGAGCGCTCACCCTCTGCGTCCACCTGCTCTTGGTCTCTCTTCTTGGCGGCATTCTTTTTGTCCCATTGCTGGTGCAGGTACCGCAGGAGGATGTTCGTCTTTTCTGTCACAATGATCTGTTCTGTCGGGTACTCTCGGGTCGGCAGGTACACTGAGGGACGGCGGTTCGAGGCCTTGCACACGGAGTCCGAGTGGACCCTGCTGAAGTTGCTCTTGTAGACGGGCAAGCCTTTCAGAAAGTCTGCCATGGTCCGCGCACAGCCTCCGTCTCAGTCTGCCGCACAGCACTTCCACTTCAGCAATTTTTTTTATATCACCCCAAATACCATTTAAAAAGCAACAGAAAAGAAAGATTAAAAGGCAGGTGCGGTGGCACATGCCTGCAAACCCAGATCTCAGGAGGAAAAGGCAGGAGAGTCACGAGTTCAAGGTCCTCTTCAGCTATAGAAAGTTTGAGGCCAGCCTGGGCTACATGTTTGCCTGTCTTGACTTAAAGAGGAAATGGGAGAGCTACTGCAATCCTCTCAACAACCACATTCTGAGAAAACAAGGTTTTTATATGGACTAACAGAAGGATGGGAGGGGACACAAGGCAACAGAAGGATGGGGGGGGACACAAGGCTCCCCCACCCTCACTCTCAGAATCAGCTCCCCCACCCTCCCCCTCTGGGTTCTTACAAAGCCTCTCCTCCTTCGGCCTGGACCCCAGGTCTCCTCCACCTCTAGGGTCATTCTCATAGAGCCAGCATGATTGAGCTCTGCCTGGGGTCACAAAACATGACAGCCCAGGGTCTCAGCCACAGCAGCACCACAAAGAGTGACTCAGACACCCTGTTGCCACCTGTCAAATCCCATTTTCTGGTCCCCAAACTCTCTAATGCGAACTCATCCGCCATCCTTCTGCCACCCTAATATGCTGTCATGGGGTCAGAATTAGGAGAGCATTCTGCCTGGCTCTGTGAGGAATGTCCCCATACACACAGAGTCCCTGGCATCCACACAAAGAGGCACTCAGCTCTGACTGTTGACTGCTAGATACAAATCTGAGCTGCACCCTGACCTCAGGAACGTGCTCTATGAGGTACCGTGCCTCAGTTTCCCCAGGTGTATAGTGGGGCTCTCTTAGCGGTGCCATGGGTCTTGATAAGCTCCTTGCTCAGAGAAAGTCATCAGTAATTGTTATTTCACTAGCACTGGCACTGGAGCTCCAGATAGAGAGCTTGTCTGGCATATGCTAGTAGGTTCCATCTTCAGTCAAGCCAGGACAGGGCATCAGATGACAAGCTCTAAAAGTGTAGGGTCAGGAATGCTTAAATACACTTCAGCCTCACACTGCAAGTGACCCTTGGGTGAGACGCCAAGGGACTAAATACCACAGCGGAAAGCAGTCAGCTCTCCCTCCAGCTGCACTCCCACCCTTATCCCCACCATGTGCTATTTTGAGGAGCCTCTGGAGCCCTACCTGATGGGGGATGTCCTGTATGCTGTGAATGTATGTTTCTCTTGCTGGTTGATGAATAAAGCTGTTTCAGCCAATGGACAGGCAGGATTTAGCCACGTGGGAAATCCAAACAAGGATAGAGAAAGGTAGTAGGTGGAGTCAGAGAGGCACCATATAGCTGCCGAGGAAGCTAGAAACACGGGCATCGCTGGTAAGCCAAGACTATGTGAAGATACGCAGATGAATAGGAATAGGTTAATAATTAAGAAAGAGCTAGCCAATAAGAAGCCTGAGCCATGGCCAAACAGTTTATAATAAATATAAGCCTCTGTGTGTTTATTTGGGACTGAATGGCTGCAGGACCCAGCAGGACAGACATTTCCATCTACACCTATCTCTCTACCTGTTCCCTCTCTTCATCTTGAACTGCTCTGAACCTCTAACAAGCTGGGCTGGATCTAGACCAGAATGCTCAAGACAGTCATTCAAGCCTGGCTTCCTGATCCTCCACTGACAGTTCAGAGCCCCTCTTTGGGCCCCCCTCTCACTCTTATCCCTGTCAAGGCAGGGTTTGGGTACTTGTCCAAGGCCTAAAATTATTCTTAAAGATGCAAGCTTCCATCAACTGAAGAACCTCCCTCCTCTGCTCACTGCCCCCACCAGACAGTCAGAGGGTTCATAGGGCAGGCACTGTGAAGTGGCTGGGGACACCAGTGAGTAAATATGGCCTTCATAGCCCAGCTCCACTCTCCCCTTCCTCCTTTCTCCTTGCTAACTAACCAATTTTGTATGGTCCCCTCCCAGGCACTTTTTCTTTAATGATGTATTTTATTATTATTTTTCATGTGTATGATTGTTTTACTCGGTGTATGTCTGAACACCATGTGCATGTCTGGTACTCACGAAGGTCAGAAGACAGCACTGAATTCCCTGGAACTCGGTTACGGACAGTTGTGAACCACCACATGGATCCTGGGGATTGAACCTGGACCCTCTGTAAGAACAAATGCTTGGGAGCTGGAGAGATGGCTCAGTGGTTAAGAGCACTGACTGCTCTTTCAGAGGATCTGGGTCAATTCCCTGCACCCACATGGCAGCTGACAACTGTCTGTAATTCCAGTTCCAGGGGACCTGAGACCCATGGTAAAGTACCAGTGCATATAAAATAAAAATTAATAAATTAAAAGAGAGAGAGAGAGAGAGAGAGAGAGAGAGAGGTGCTGGAGAGATGGCTCAGAGGTTAAGAGCACACTGACTGCTCTTCCAGGGGTCCTGAGTTCAATTCCCAGCAACCACATGGTGGCTCACAACCATCTGTAATGAGATCTGGTGCCCACTTCTGGCGTGCAGGCATACATGCAGGCAGAACACTGTATACATAATATATAAATAAATCTTTAAAAATAAATAAACAAACAAATAAAAGAACAAATGCTCATAGCTGCTGAGCCATCTCTCCAGCTCCTGCCCCTGTAACATCTTTTTTTTCAAATCACATTAAGCCATCTTAGAATGGTGCTTCATTCTCCCACAGTTCTCTGATTAGAAAGAGGTGTGTGTGTGAGTTCCAGACAGTGAACCAGGTCTCCATATCTGCTGGAGACTGTTTCCCACTTTACTGAGGGACACAGGAATAAACACTCTTCCTCAGGCAAACCAAATAGTAACATAATGATGCCTGGATCTAGGGCAGCCGGCTTGTGACTCTGAGAAAATGAATCACCCTGAGAGTCACAGAGCTGAAGGCAGGGGGAACCTAAGGGCTGGCGACCTGACTCAGTAGATGAAAACACTTGCTGCCAAATCCAACAACCCCAGTTCCTTGGAACTCACATAAAGGATCAATAAAGTTGTCCTCTGACCTCCACACTTGTGTTGTGGCTTGGACATACTCCAACTCCCACACAGGATAAATAATCTTTTTCTTTCTTTCTTTTTTGAGACAGGGTTTCTCTGTGGCTTTGCAGCCTGTCCTGGAACTCCCCCTGTAGACCAGGCTGGCTTCGAACTCACAGAGATCCACCTGCCTCTGCCTCCCCAGTGCTGGGATTAAAGGCGTGCGCCACCACCACCTGGCCCAAGATAATAATTTTAAAAAACAAAGCAAAACAAAAAAACCCTAAGACTCAGTGATATTGCAGAGCTTATGAATTCACTATCCTGGACTTGTGGCGACCCTGGCCTTCTCAGAACAGACAGTGGTTAAAGACTTCATTTTTTAAGCTGATCTGAGTGTTCTATTACTGGTGGCCAAAAGCCAGCCACAAAACCAGGTGAGGCAGTTCACACTTGCTGAGCATTGTGGGATGCTGGACACCTGTCAGTCACAGACCTTAGTGCCTTCCCATTACTCCCATCCCCCACGCCAGGAGCTGAGAGGGAGTCCCCCAGTGGTGTGTATGTATGTATGTGAGAATTGCAGGTCATAAGAGCCCAGTGCTGCAGGGGATAAAGCCCAGTCTGTGGCTCCAGGCCCTTTCTCCTCCACTGCCCATCACCTCTCAGACACAGCTAAGGAGTGGCTCTCATTTCAAAGCACAGAGAACTCAAGGATGACTATATCCAGGGACTGAGGCTTATCAACCCTCCACTTCCAATCTTCTCTTCTCTCTAATGTGATTATGTTCTCAGGCTAGCTGCCCCATGACCACCACAAGCCCTTGTTTCTTATCCAATAGCCAGGAGCCAATCCTTTCCCCAGCTTGAGGTCCATTGGCCAATCCTGGATCCTATACTGCCTCCTCCAGTCAACCACTGTGAGTCTGAACTGGGTGATGCTTCCTGGCTCTGTGTCCTGGGCAAGCCAACCACCTTGTGATTTCTTGTGCCTGACCCCATGAGCCATAGGGACCATGGTTCCCCCTCATAGTTCCTTGAGACCATTCATTTGTTCAGACAGACATCACACAAACAAATGTGTGGAGAGAGAGAGAGAGAGCAGCTTAGTAACGGTGATTTACACCTATTAGTTCCAATACTCCAGGAGGGTCTAAGAGTTCAGGGCCAGCCTGGGCCACATATGAGAGTTTGTCTGAAACAAAGATATACAGAACCACAGTAAGTGTTGTGAAGGAAAAGCATGTGAGGCTAGTTCAGATTACCATGAGAAGCATGCCTGCGTGGGGCACCACAGGCAACTCGGCACCACATCAGCGTTCAGCCAATGGTCTGTCCTAGAGGTTGATGCTTGGTCTCCTCCCACCACCCAGCCTCCCCAGAGTGATTTCCAGAAAGGAGGAGAGCAGGCTGACTGTTCTTCTCCATCCTGGCAGCAATTAAGAGCCTCCTGGGGGGATGGTGAATTGGGTGGGGAACTCACGTCTTGAGACAGCAGACATGGGCCCTAGAACCTTCCCTGGCTCAAGAGCCATGGAAGAAAGAGAACTCAATGTTGCGCGTGGTGGCACATGCCTTTAATCCCAGAATTCAGGAGTCAGGGGAAGGCAGACCTCTGAGTTTGAGGTCAGGCTGGTCTATTGAGCAAGTTCCAGGACAGCCAGGGCTACACAGAGAAATACTGTTTTGAAAAATGAGACAGAGAGACAAACAGAGAGAGAGAGAGAGAGAGAGAGAGAGAGAGAGAGAATATCCAGTGCCAGACAGCTTTATACTTTGCTTTTGCCAAGCTCCCTTCTCCTTGGCAAAGTTCCCCAAACATAGAGACCAGGCCTGGTACCAGATTGGCCCCAGGTGGCCAGACTATCATCACTTCCTGGTGACTGCCTCTGGAGGGACCACTGACAAAACTTTGAGATGCCAGGATGTGGAATACTCCATCCCCACCAGGGCCCTCTGGGGTTCTCTCACACA